AGCAATCTTATATATTAGATTATAGAATTTAAATTATTAAATAAGTAATACTTTAATTTTTTTTATTAAACCTTTTAATATTTAAAAGTTACATTAAACTTAACTAATTTAAAATCAAGTCAGATTGGATTTTAAAAAAAGGAGAAATTCTTTCGATAACTATTTTTTTGGCTTAAGTATTGGAAAAGGACACCAACTTTTATTAAAATCTTAATTAAGGTCCTTAATGTTTATTGCGCTCAATCAAGGACTTGAACTCATATAAACTCTCAAATAAGTACCCAATTGGATGGAATCTTAACCATCCGTCAATTCTCAAGTGATCGTCCGTTGTAGTCCGTTATCCCTCAACACGTGGCATGCCAACTAGACTCATAAGGCCAATAGTAAAAAGATGTTTTCCAATGTGGATTGTTGGGTGGGATCCCACAACTTCTTTTTCTCCCATCTCTCTTCTTCTTTCTTATTCCACATTTTGGCGGTGAAAATTTTCAGTCGGCCCCTCCTCATGCCGGATCTTCTTCAATAAGTGAAAAAGAATAAAAAAAGTGATAAATTAAACAAATTAACAAAACAAAAATAAAGAAATCACGTGCAATTAAGACAAATTCAAAAATCATAAAAATATTAAAGTAATTCAACAACTCAAATAAAATTTCATGATCATACCTATATACTATTAAATCCACATATAAATGTGAAAAAAAATTGTTAAAAGACTACACCAAGTAATAAATACCTTAAATTGACTTTTGAAAATTTCAAAAATCTTTTTCTATTGATGTGTTTACAGGCAAAAATTTTAAATTTCTATATCATATTAAAAAGGTGTTGAATAGTCAAAGATGAAAAAGGAGAGTAGGAAAAAGAGTCTTATGGGACCCATCAGATATGTGGAGGGAAAGATACCGCCCAACATGCCACGTTGAAATTTTTTTTTTACTATTTAGCCTTGTGGATGCAGTTGGCATGCCATATATTAAGGGGGTAACAAACCACAACAAACGGTCATGTGAGAATTGACGGATGGTTAAGATTCCATCCAATTGGATCCTTATTTGAGAGTTTGTATGAGTTTAAGGCTTTGATTGAGCACAATAAACGTTGAGGACCTCAATTGAGAATTTAGTAAAAGTTGGGATCCTTTTCCAATGCTTAAGCCTATTTTTTTCATTTACAAACTTAACTTCAAGATTTTACATAACCAAACTACTTTTTTTGACCAACAAATTGTTGATTATAAGACTTTAATATTAGAAGTTGTTTCCTATTCCATTTTTATTATTCCATTTT